GAAAGTTAGATGGATATACTGGGGAAATTACCTTGCTGTAAGCTTGCTTGTCAGTTTTCTGGGTTTTGTTTGGTTGGGGTTTTTTTAATGTTTGATTGTTTGTTTTGTTCTAATAGCTCTTCCTAAGACATCTGCTACTTTCTAACAGAAACTCTTCAGCATGGCATGACCTACTTGGATCTTTTATCCAACTCACTGCAGCCACTGTTACGTAGGTAGAAGCCATCTGTGCTGGATAATTCCTGGTCTGTAATTCTGGGACAACAGTGCTGGGAAGCTTCAAGTGTCACTTGTTTGTAGCCAGAAGGTCTCTAAACTCTTTGTTCAAGTTAATGAACATTGGAAAAACAAATTGATCTGTTATGATTTTTGTAATGAGAATGAGAGCTGGTGCAGAAGAATGGGTGACACTGTCCAAACCATTTGTGTGTGTGTTTTTTTCTTCTCCATAAGTGATTTCATGTAGGATAGCTTGAGATTCAGCTTGGGTGAACAGGTCACTTCTAATTTAGTAGGAGAGAAGACTCTTGTTGAATTCATGACAATACATAGGAGGTGATTCTTACTTACCTGTCCTCATCAGACTAATGTTTTAGACAGAGCCCCACACAATAAGAACATGCAGACTCTTGGCTCCAGCTGTATCTACAAAATATGCTACAGGCCACTCTGCCTTACATTAAACCTCCCCTTGGCCAGCCTAGAGGGAGGATCCCTTTTTCCCCTATATGAATCACTTCTCTAAGTAGGTTCAGTTTGTCTCTGCTCTGCAACCCTGTTGCAGCTGAGATGAGCAAAGTTAGTCCAGCCACCCCATGTCCACCTGGCGAAGGGAGTAAACAGAAGAGAGACGAGGGTGGATTAAGAAGGGTGCTTAACAATTCCCGTGCTTGGTCATGAAGGCCATGACAGTTTGTTTGAAGGCCACAAAGTGCAGTTCTTGGAAGCTGTGGGGTTTTTTCTGCTGTGTTTAACTGTTTGTCTTGTATTCAGCCCAGTCACAAAACAGAACATTCTCACTCTCTGCTGAAGGTTAGAGTCCTCTGACATGTTTCTGGGATGAACAGAAGTCTTTCTGTCTGACCTTCATGCTTTAAAAGTAAATAAACAAATAACTAAATAAAAGCTCAAGGGCGTACACACACTCTTGGTTTTCATAGCCTTCCTCAGTGATCTGCAGCATGAACAGCAAGTTGTGTGTGTGGTTACATCTGCTTCTATGTGGTTCTGTGTGTTCAGCATGAGAAAGGGAAGTGATTTCATTTTGAGGCAAAACTAATACCGTCAATTAAAATTAAGTTTACATTTTGCTTTCAGATATATTCACATGGAAGAGTTTTTTTCATCAAGACTCTTTTATGATTATGCTAATATAAAGAGGTGGCAAAGTAGCTGTAAAATCTCTGTTGGGGCATAAAGGCCACTCAAACCACTCAAAGAAAAGTCAGGTCCCAACAGTGAGCCCCAAATTTGAGCAGCATGGCAGAAGTACATTTATTTCTAAGGATGTCTGCAGCCATGCCAGAGTTTAAGGCTCTGAGCTGATCCAAACCTGAGGGCTCTTTTAATCTGTGCTATTCTCTACACTGCCAACAGACAATTTCATAATCAGTCACTTTAAAAAAATTTTTTTAGTACCAAGTTCATTACACACTTGTGAAACCTTACTGAAATCAGATGAAGGTAGCCAGTAAGATGAATGAATGATAGTCCTGTATTGTCTATGGTTTTATTTCAAGGGGTTTTCAAGTCCTCATTAAGACCTCTTTTTCTACTGATCTTGGATAGTTTGAGGTCTGTTGTAGCTGGAATAGTTAGAGAGAACTCCTCAGCTAGTGTGGGATTAAACTTCCTTAAATGAATGGTTGCAAGGATAATATTATCCGTAATATTACCCAGCTTTTCAGGAAATGGTCAGTCTACAGATCTTGCCCTGGCTAGATATGCAATGAGGTAGGAGTTACCACCTTTAAGTCCCATACTTAGTTTTGCTTCTCTCTATAAAACATGAATACAGTGGTCTCATTTTGTTTGCTTGTTTTTGAGGGAGGACAGAGGAGAGGTAAGGCTTTTTGCTCAAGAAGTTAACACATGAAGCCACTTCCAACATTTCTAGTTTTCAAAGTGAAGCATGGACTTTTAAACTACTGCAGCATCAGATCAGACTGATTGAACCTATGCACATTTTAGATTGGACATTTATTTCAGTTGGGGTTACCTATGAGAGGCAGAAAAGAGAGAGCAAGTTATTTCTGGTTTGTGTGCAAAATCAGAGACTTCTTATACTTTGCCTGGTAAACATGGATTTGCATTTAATGCAAAAAATATAGTCTGTAGTATTCACTCTATAAAGTGTATACAAAATATAGAGTATACATTTTAGATGCTAAAACCATTTTTGAACAAATTTACTAGGTAGTCTTTTTTTTTTAAACACATACTTGTTTTTTGCTTCTCATAAAAATACAGAACTTGAGCTTACCATCTTCATTCTGCATTGTGTATGAATGTAACAGCTTACTTATTTTTAATTATCTCTGCCATGGAAAAGAATTGTTAAATTGTTGGGTTTTTTCTAGGATCTGAGTGAATATTTTGAGAACAGTGTTTCATGTATTGACAGCACTGCAAGAAATATTTTGTTTCTTATTTTAAATCAAAGCATGATGTTGTACAAACATGGTTAGAGGAATGTTATTTGTGGCCCAAGTGTGGGCTTGAAACAAACTGCTCATGTTTCTTTTTTCCAATGTCTGCAGTTTTCTGATGATTTGGAGAATCGCATTTTTGAATCCTCTCGTTCTTGGTTGCTACTGAAATACAAGAGGAACTAATGGAAAGGCAGATATTGGTGATAAAGGACTCACAGCCACTTGTAATGTTCTCTCAGCAGGAGGGTCCTGGGATAGCCAGCTTCCTAAATGCACCAGTGCGAGAGGGTTTAACAGGAGAAAGTGAACATGGTCATCAAGCAAAGAGTGATGAGTAGTGGATGTGTTTCATTTGGATTGTCAAGATTCACAAGTGTTACTAGGCTGGTGTTTTTTTAGGATGGAGGTGCTTTGGGACCAATCAGCTATGAGGTCCCTAAACAGAGAGTTTGAAGTGTTGGAAAAACTGGAAATAACTTTCTCAATCGTTGTAGTCTGGCTGATTTATTTGATTGACTGAAGCTTGTCTGTTGTGAATTGAATGGGAGTTTGTATAGTGCTTGGTTCAGGTAGTATCCTCGGCTAGATTTTGAGTGAGTTTGGTAACCCTGAACTGATTAAGGGTAGTATTACTTCCCAAATAGGGAGTTAATGTTTTGTTAAGCACAGAGTTTAAAAGGGCTCTGATACTTCAAAGTCCTTCACCTACTGGGTAGGCAATATAAAGGCTGCAAGTCAGAGACCATTGCTCTAGAAGTTTATTATTCTCTGTGTCCCACAGAAGAAATGAAAACTGCACAAGAAAACAGACAGTAACTTCTTTGGTGAGGTTAAGAGTTCAGTGTTTTTCAACTGTCCTTATTTTTACTAGGTTCCCACTCTTTCTTTGCTTGTGCCGTGAGAAAAGCTAACAGGAAGTTTGATTTCACTGTGGAGGCTCAGTCTGGACGTTTCAGGTGAAGGTGTATAGAACTGACAAGATAAACCTTCTTTGTTCATGCCTTTCAGATCTGTGGATGTGAGAGATTATTACATTTGTAATCAAATTGTTTGAGTGCAAATGGGATGGTGAAAAGCACAGTTTTCAACATTTAATTTCTGATGTATGTGCCAGTGCACAGTCTTCACTTTCATCTCTACTTGCCTGCATCCTGAGCAGATGTATAGATGTGTGTGGTGAGAGGATTATTTTCCTCTGTCAGGTTTTACATCATGAAGGAAGAACACCTTGACCTTGCTTGATGGGTTGCCTCAGTGGAGTCCTACTTTGCCTGTGGCTCAGCTTAGTTCTAAGCTAATATTTGTATAGCCTGACATAGGGCATCTGGCTGAGCAGGGTAGAGATCCCATCACCTATGTACTGCGTGTGAGTTTTTTTATAAGCCAACTACTCCTAAGTGACTATAACCACCACACAGACACCACTAAGAAGAGTAAGTCTTGCAGAGAACAAATGGTCTGGGGTCACAGGGGGCCTGTAGCTTTTTTTTTTTTTTTTTTTTTTTTTTTTTTTTTTTTTTTTTCAGAAAAGGCTGGCAGGGAGGAAAGAAGTGTTACTTCATTGTGTGTTAAGCTGATGATTAAATAGAATTGGGTAACATTTGTCAATAAATGAGAACGAAACTTTTGTGCAAGGAAATAAAATTAAGAAATTGTCATCAATTAAACCACTGGAAAAATAGCATGAGATGTACATGATTACTTTTAGGTGTTTTTTTTAGATTCTTCTTAATCTGTGCACATTTTTTGAAAGTATGTGTACTACTTGAAATCTCTTACAAGCATTATTCATTCCGTCTGCCACAGAAATATGTTCTCCTTCCCTTCCCCTCCCCTTTCATTTTCCATATGCTTAATTTTTTAAACTTAGAAGTATCTTGATATCTTGATACAAGGGGTTGCAGGTAAAACCTACTTTAACAATTCCTGAATTTATTAAATACTGCCTTTTTCTCACACACAGACTTCTCGTTGACTTACCCCTTATACAGCCTTGGTCTCCAAAGAAGCAACTGGTGGAAACCTTGCAGTAAAAAACACAAGAAATGTGTGCCATAGGACAAAGCAAGTATGCCAGCCATTCCTGTTTTGACTGATTGAAAAAAAAAAAAAAAAAACCCAAATCCAAAAACCTGGAGAGCCAACAACACATGAACTTACTGACCTCTGTGCTGCGATAGCTTCTGTAATTATTGAATAGCGGGGATGGGCTGAGTGCTCAGGAGGAGAATTTGGGGGCTGGCCTACACGGTGAGATAAGGTTACATATAAAGCGGCTGCAGCGGATTTGGGAACACTAACGGAGTGTATTCCCTGGTGCGCAGCTCAGCGAGTTTGGATCCTGGGATCATGAGCGGGTGCCCCTTCGCAGGGAACAATTACCTGTGAGTCCCTCGTCCCTGTGTTTTGCTTCATAATGTCAGTTCAAATGATATAATATTAAGGTAAAATACGAAAGCTCAGAGAGGAATTAATGATTATCAACAAATAGACAACTGTAGCTATCGCTAAAGGAAAAGAGATTGCACAAGGACTTGTCCAAGCACTTGTTATTTGATGAACTAGATGTAATGCCACCAGCTGTTACTGTGACAAGAAGTATTTCAGGTGTACTGTTTTTCTCAGAAGCCTGCTTTAGTGGCTCAGTTTCTCAAAACAAAGTGTTGTTTGAATTGTAGATGCATCTGTTAGTAAAAAGGCAGGTATATTCATAGTTCTTTAAATAGTTTATATATTTACCTAGTTTTCTTCTTAGATTAAATTTTAACAAGCTATCTTTGGAGGATGAAAAAGATGACAAATCACAAGAAGGGATAAATAAAGCCAGCAAAGGTGGACTTGTCTATGGAGACTACCTACAAGTAAGTTTAAGGATTTCATGTTTATTGCCCTGGTCGCTCTTAAGACTTGAGCCAGGACCTGTGACTGACGCTTCTCCCAGCAGTCAGCCAGTCACTAAGACAGGTCTCCAGGTGCCCTTCGTCTACCTGAGCTCTCCACGCGTAGTCATGGGCACAGGTGCCTGTCTCTGCTGACATGGTGCAGGTGGACTGTGGGATGGCTTCTCAAACTGCAGGGAAGCTGGGGATTTTGGGGGATTTTGGTAGGGAATTATTTATATTGGTAAACCTAAACTGTAAAGTGGTGCACCACAAAAGGCTTTCTTTGGTCTGACAATCACCACTTGGCAATTTTTCCATGTCAGCAGGCCATGTGCAACTTCCCTGAATTATTGCATGAAAGCCCAGAATATTTGGCTGGAAAAATATATTGCAGAAATCTAGGGGGTGGGATGATAACTAGGAGGGACACAAAAAAAACCCAAACAAAAAACCACAACTAGAAGTAATTCAGAAATAAGTAAAAATAAAATGCCATCTGTAATAAAAGAATCCAGATTTTTTTTTTTTTTTTGGTGACAGCATGAACCGAAGTGAGCGATATTACTCTGTGCTTGTGAACAGAAGACCGATTTTTTGACATGCTATATGGAATGTTGCAAAGATTTATTTTCAAAAAAACTATGATTAGATTGTAAATTTGACTCAGTAAAAAAAATTAGTAATGCCAGAATTGAAACAACTAGTACAGCCTCAAATCAGAGCTCTTGTGCAGATGTTATTGCATGATTACACAGAATTTTCTGTAAGAGCTCTGTTTTCCTGGAACATGACAGTATAGATGTAAGGTCTGGAAAACATGCTGGATATTTTGTTTTCTCTTTTTTTATAATTAAAAATACCCTTAAAATGATTTTCCAAACTTTATTACTTGAGGTACCTGAACGTTCCATTTTAGGCAAGATTTTTTTTTTTTTTAAATTAAAAAGGAAAAGTGACACCTGAGACCATTTAGTCTAACTTTTCATACAGCCTGGAGTATGAGGCCTATATATGTATTTTTTTTAATATTATCCCTAAATATTAGTTCTGCACAGTAGGACTACCATTGCTAATAGCAGAACCGAGAGCTTTACAGAACAGTCTTATGTTTATTTTTAAGCTGAACAAAATATTGAATGCTCAAGAACTTCAGAGTGAGAAGAAAGGAAACAAAATCCATGATGAGCATCTTTTCATTGTGACGCATCAAGGTAAGTGGTTGGGAGGAGTTCAGTGGTGGCTGACTGGCATTTTTGCCACAGGGAGTTATTCAGTGCTGAAACATGCAATACACAACTCGTTTTCATTTTAGACACGATCGCTACAATTGCTCTGTCTTTTATCTGCATTTATATTTGTATATATCTCTATATCATTTGTAAGGCTGTAATCAACTCTGTGATTATGAAGACATAAGTATAAACTTTGGATTTGGTAAACCAAGAATTGGATGGTTCTGTTTCTGGAGAAATTAAGGTGGTGAAATTAATTCCCCGTCTGAGTAATAGGCTGCTATGCAGTTTATTGTAGGCAAACTTTGTGTGTTGGCTTGTGCCTTCTCTGAAATGTCAATCCAATTTTAACCATCTAGAGGCTGTCTAGAAACCAGCATACTGGTTAGGTTCTCCCTAACTGCTAATATCCACGTGTTTTGCAGGCACTGGCCTGATGATATTTTCCTGTTATTGACAGGAAACATGTAGATGACATAAAGGTTGTAAGCAGCTCTGGGGTTAGCTTTTATGGGAGTACCAGATCTAGATTTTCTCCTTCCCCCTTATTTGATGTACAGAATGTTCATTACAAATCTGATGTGTAAAACGTATTAAAAGATCTGTTAACATTCTCAATGCTAGATTATTTCATGTAACATGTTAGGTAAAGGACAGCATACTGTAACAGGTAATTCGTTTGAGTATCAGCATCTTTTTATACACCAGCAATGTAAATGTAGGCTACTAATTTCAAATCAAAATGTTGAGTTTTACTACTTCAATACTATGAAGAAAAAACAAAGTAATGTTGAAGTTAATGCTAACAATGCCTTTCTTGTTGTAGCTTATGAACTTTGGTTTAAGCAGATTCTGTGGGAAATGGACTCTGTACGTGTCATCTTTCAAAATGGCCACGTAAGTTAAAAGCAAATGTTAATTTTGGGAAAATGCAGCCCTCTCTTTCTCTCTCCTCCTGCCTTCCAGCCTGATATATATTTGGGTTTACTAAAGCAACATGTGCTCTTTTTTAAAAAGAGCATCAAAAAAACCCCAGTGAAATGTGGCTGAGTGGCTCTTATATCCTGATGGTACAGACATTTGATCAACAACCTCTTATTTCCTCCTGAAGTGTGCCTTTTGCGTAGATCATTTTCCAAGACTAACTTCATTGGCCAAAACACTCTCATGCTCTGCTACTAGTACTGGATAACTGCAGAAACTTAATTTGGGAATATTCTACTGCAGAAAAAGCGTGCTCAGAGGCAAAACTGAAAACGAGAGGGCTTGCAGGTATTTTTATGTTGAAAAGTCACTTTTACCTTTGTTCAATTTTTTGATGTCTACATACTATATCCTTCCATTCAATATCTGCTATACGAAAGGAAAACTCTTTTTCATAGTTGTGTATTATTAAATGAAACAGAAAAGCAGTAATCAAAATCACAGTGTACAATTGTATGAGAATTTCTGAAAATTACAAATGTAACAGGAATATTTTGAACATCTCTAAACATTTGTTCAAAGCTAAACACACCTCATAATAATAGATAACAAAGGAAAACTTGTGACCTGATACTACATCCACAGGAAATTAGGCTGACTGCATGTAATTTGAGAAATACCTTGAGTAACATCATGAGCATATGTGTACAAAGAAAATTTGAAACTAGACCAGACTGAAAGAAGGAACCTTTTTATCATAATGTCCAATGAAAGTGTTCTCTGTTGCCCTCCACATTCATAATTTTGTTGGCTTTTTAGTTGAAAATTATATCAAATTATAACTGATCAAAATCTGTTCCTAAGCAGAATTATTTATCATTATTTATTTTTGTGAAAAATGTAACTTTTCTTATAATCAGAATTTGAAATGTCAACGTTAAGGTTAAGTACACAGCCAGCCGACTAAGGAAATGGTTATCATCTTTCAGTTTTGTGGTTTGATATTTCCTGGTTGCATGCCCAGGTCTTAGAGAGAAGTTTAATCCCGTTGGAACTAACAGGAATTTTAGCAGACTCCTCTGCAGGCAAAGGGTTCGACTTAGCCAGAAGAGAGCTTCTGTGTTCTCCATTTAGTATTTTCTGTTTCCCACCAGATGTAGTCTTCTCTGTTTTCCTCTGCTTGCTAATGCACATCTTTGATGTGCTTTTTAGATGTGCTCTCCTGATGTACCTCTCAGATTATTCTGCTTCTTAACTTTTAAGTACTTTCCTTATGTAGGTAGGCTGCCTTATGACTTGTTCCTTCACAATAATAGAAATTATTATAGAAGTTATTATAATAGAAAGCATAATATAATTATCATATTATATCATATATCATTAAAATTGTATTGTAATCATTGGAAATGATCATGATATAAATTATTTTGGTCTCAAATTTAATTTCTTGTGGTGACTTCTAGTTCAGTCAAAAATGTAGAAAAGAAGAAAAAATCCTGTATATTTAGCCTAGTTGCAATGTAGCATCAGTCAGAGAACAACCGATTTCAATCCTTCAAAATTATAGTTTCGGTTTTCAGTTAAAAACAGGGCTCTCTATTCAATATGGGATTCTGCTGCTACGGATTTCATGTGGAAAGGACGTGGGAACTATAGCGACATACAACAGTGAAAAGACCTGAAATAAATAGGTAGGATGTAAAGAGAACACCATTCTGTGTGGTTATGATCTTTACTTTTTCTACAGGTAAGAGATGAGAGGAACATGCTGAAGGTTATTACTCGAATGAACAGAATTTCAATGATTCTGAAATTACTTGTGGAACAGTTCTCCGTTTTGGAAACTATGACTGCATTGGACTTCTTTGATTTCAGGTAAATACTTACTATTCCTCCACAGCAATCGATGAGCTGGTGATCCCTATCCTTAGAACTGATTGTGAATTTTGCGTGTGCTCTGGCAGCTTGTAGTACATGCATCATTCAGCAAGCTGAGAGCATACCTTAGAGAGGCAATGGTGACGTTAGAGTGCAAGGGTCCATTAAGAAGTTGAGCGAGACTGTGAGTCCAGCGTGCTCTGCAAAAGAAGTACAGGTTAATTGTTGATGTTTATTTGCAGTGCTGCTGAATGGTTTCAGAGTAAGAAGTTGAAACAATAGAAATAGCTCACGGTTCCCTTAACAATTTACTTGAAACTCACCACTGCACAGTTGCAGCAGTATTCTATGGCAAATCACAGATGTGCTTGGGTGAGAGAAAGGCACTCTCCATAGATTATCAAATAGACATTTCAGCTGTCTTGGTTTGCATAGTGTTTCCTTGCTTTACGTTTTCAGTGGGTGTGCAGCCTCTTTCCTCACTTCAGCTAGGTCCTTCCACTACACTACTGTGTGCGACAGCTTCAGCCACTGTCTGCCCTCCTGTTCTTGTTCTGCTTGTGTCACTGACCCGTCTCGCTCGCGACCTCGGTGCCATCCAGCATCCCATCCGCTTCTGCATTGTTGTAGTACCCTTTCCTTTTTGTCTTTTAACGTTCCGTAACTAAAAAGCACATGAAACTACAATTTTGCTTCTCTTGGAAGTTTGAAACATCTGTGTTGTCTAGCATTACGCTACAGCGGGGGAAATCCATGGGCTAATCATCTGTTTTGATGCATTCTTGCTTCTGCTTTTCAACAGCATACTGTCATTTCATAAGCAAACATGAGATCAAATCAATGATATGTTTCTGCCAAATCTTATGTTTGTAATTCAAAGTGAATTACAATTATCTAGCAACGTGGGATTTCAGATTACTTTTATTAATAAATTTTTTCAGCGTGGTCACGCGATTTAACTCTGAAAGAATCCCATTAATGAATCCCTCAAATGAAACCCACTAAATGTTTTTCTGGGCATAATTCTATTGTATATATAGCAATTGTGTATAACAAGAGTATTTAAAACGCATTCATTTGCGCTTTAATGATGTGGAAATTTTTATAATAGCTATTTGGGGTGAAGCTGCTTATTCTGTCTGGAAAGGAAATGATATTCACTAACGTTTCCTGCTGTACATCACACACACAAAGCTGCCATTTTAAAACACAGTACAAACATAAGTGTGTGTATATATCTGTGTGTGCACAAACAGTATATATCTAGAAAATTAGAGTATGTTATACATACATTGTAGTTGCATTAAAATAGTTTGCTTTTTTTCTTAATTGCAATCATATAAAAATGCTCAGATATCTACTTGATATTATTCAAATGTGAAACTTTATTTTTTTTTTTTTCTTTACTTTGTTGAGAACCAGAGAACCCCATAATTGTAAAATAATAGCCTGGTTTTTTGTGTCTTCTTTTCTTCTGTTCCCAAAGATACTACCTAAGCCCAGCCTCAGGTTTTCAGAGCCTGCAGTTTCGCTTGCTAGAGAACAAAATTGGTGTTCCCCAAAGTCTGAGAGTCCCCTATAACAGAAGGCATTATCGTGACAACTTCAAGGGACAGGATTATGAACTACTGCTTAAATCGGAGCAAGAACCAACGCTACTGCAACTTGTGGAGGTAACAATGTCTGTCTAAGACCTTGCTTTGTTTTCCCCCATCTCCCAGGAATGTCCTTCATTGGTGTTAGTAACCAATTCTTCTTCCTTGAGAGAAGCAAGCATGCTGGCAATTTCCCAGTCAGTCACGTTTTGGATTCTTACCAAATTTTGTATGAGAGAGAGTTAGTCATTAGTAAACCAATTGATTTTTCACAGCATTTCCTCTTGTCTGAAAAGTCTGACTATTAAACTAGTAAATTGCATTGTGGAAGTATAAGCTAAGAATATAAATGTACTGTTCCATGCGCATTTTTTTTTTTCATTACCATAAACCCTTTTTAGAAGAAAACTTTAAAAGTATTTCCACTCTTAGTGATGGCTATTAGAGCGGTTTAAAAAAAAGGAAAAAAGACAACCCAAAATGGAAAGGAGAAAAGATGTTTAACAGATGTTTCATTAAATCACGATAAGTGATAATGACTCTGTCTCAAAGTTATGAACGACTCACGGTAATTTCTCTAACTCTCTTGTCATTTTCATACACAAAATTAACATAACTTTCTAAAGAATAATGCAGTATAAACCTCAATAAAAGGATCCACTCTTATTAGCCCTATCCATTTGTCTAATGACACCTGATACAGAATATATAAGAAATTTCTCTAGCTTTTCTTCATTCATTAAGACTTCATGCTCTTGTATCTTTCAGATGAGGAGCTAAATTAAGTGATCTCTAAAGGGGGTTTGACCATAAAGATTCTTAATTTTTTCCCCTCCTAATTTCATTCCCGTTATTAAAAGGAAATCAAAGAGCAAGCTTTGCTAACTACCAAGAAAATTTGTGTCTTGTACTGTCACATGTTTTGGTGTAAGCTAATGACAGACTGCTTGATCAGCATTCAGCCTGACATAATAAAAATTGATTGTACGTGTGGATGGTTCTGCATCTTCCTTCTGAGATATATCTTTACAATTATCCTATATATGTGGAATCAGATTGTTTTCCTGTATCTACAAGGACATTGGTTTTAAAGACACTCTTAGAATGAAACAGCTTTTGTCTGCCAACAATGGTCATTTAACTTGGAACCTGTGGGTGCGTTTGCACAGCACCATTTGCAGGTATAAATCTTCTATGTGATCATACTTACTCCAGCAAGAAGCACCTCTACGGGATATTAAACCAGAACAACTGTAGCTGTATAATTTATGTTGCTATAACTTGTATAGGATAATGTGCTTCCATTATTAATGTTTGAACACATTATTATTATTATTAAAGGCATGGCTGGAAAGAACTCCAGGACTCGACGCAGAAGGATTTGATTTCTGGGGACAATTTGAAGTGAATGTTTTAAAAGGTCTAGAAGAGGAATTTGCCTTGCTGCAGGTATATAATGTACTAGTGATCTAGCTATAAGCAATGACAGCTGGCAAAATGACATCCTGACATAAATCTGACTTTTGGCCCAATCACAGTTTCTTACTCACTTCACTTAATCTTTGGCAGCTTCTGTCTGCAAGAAGCAGAAAAAATTGCAAACTTTTCCAGGAAATCTGAATAAGTCTGTAATTAGACGTTTAAGATGGTTTAAAACATGTGATACATGGATGATTTTGATTGCAAAAGGAAAGGGATAGTGTCAATGGAAGGGTTGAAATTGATTTTACTGAAATCACAACTTCACCGTTAATTAGTACTTGCATCTATAGTTCAGAGTAAAACTCCACAAAGTTTGGGCCCATGAGCTTGTGAGCATGGAGTGTCACTATGAACGGTCCATTTCTATTTAACAGTATGTCGCAATTTGCTGCTTTGTGATCATTTGAGTTACACTGGCAAATAAGCACAAGAAAAACCCTGAATATTGTAAGACCTTTAGCTTTAAGTACATTTTTTTTAAAATGGAAAAACCACCATAAGAACTAATCAATTTCCTGAGAATATCTGTTTACAACTTTCTAACTTATCTAAACTTTTATTTACAATCTTCTTACCCATAGCTGTGCAAGGATGTCTTCTTTTTGCCTTGAAAAAAATTAAAATAACCAGCCTTCAAACAAATGAAGATTAAGTGTTTTTAAGGCCTCTAGACCTAAAGAAAAGTGATAAGCTGCTGGTTTGTTTGAACATTCATTCATCCGAATTATGTTGACGGCTATTTAATTGTACATATTGTGGTAATTGTGTTTTTTAAAGGACAGTGACTCAGTGACTCATCTGCCTTTTTTGAAAATATGGCTCTTACATTTAAGATGCAAACTTACAGAGTATTTATGATGAAAACAGAAGTTATATCATGGGTCATTCAAGCACTTAATTTTCCGTGTTAAATTCTAAAACTTGTTTTTGTTTTAAATATCAAAGGCCAAACCAGAATCAGAAGAAAAAGATGACAACTTATCTGAATTCCTAAAACAGAAAGATGTATTACTTTCGTTATTTGATGAAAAACGCCATGAACACCTGCTTAGTAAAGGTAGATTGTATTAATATATGTCAATATGCACTTTCTATTTTTTACACGATACGTATAATCCCATAATAGCATTACATTTGCAGGAGAATCAGTAACAAACTAAGGACATTTGTGTTTTGCAGGAGAAAGACGACTGTCTTATAAAGCACTGAAGGGTGCCTTAATGATCTATTTCTACAGGTAATGTTAGAAGATACATCTTTAACGCTTACTGGCAGGAGGAGGGGTGAAGGTTAAGGACGGCAGCACAGGTTTATTTAGGTTGGAACAGGCCTTGGAAAGTAATCCAGTCCGAGACTCCATGAAAACCCAGATTAGTCAAATGCAACTTGAAGGTCGGATTGGGCTGGCTCATGGCTGTGTCCGGTTGAGTCCTAGATATCTTCAAGGATGGAGATTACACAGCCTCTCTGGGTAGCTGGTTTGTGTCTGACCAGATGCTGCTCCTCAGATTGAAACTAGCAAATGCCTTGTTCAAACTTTTCTACAAAGGGTCCTAGACAGACTTATTCTTTTTTTTTTCCAAGTATGATGGAAAAGGCACAAATCGAGACTTACGTGGCAGAAGCGTTTCTTAGAATTTCTACCGACATTTCAATACCAATTTCAGAAAAATATACATTGTCACTGTTGTGCATTGGTGAAGCGATACTTGGAAAAATACAGTATACCATAAGAGGTCTCACTGTCTTCTCTTTCATTTTCCAAGGGAGGAGCCTCGTTTTCAGGTTCCCTTTCAGCTTCTTACCTCCCTTATGGATATCGATGTGCTCATGACCAAATGGAGATGTGAGTTTCACTTTTTGACTGTGACACTCCCTCTTCTAGATGCAAGTAAACTGTTGTTTCACCCTGTTAGACAAGTTAGACCCAGAGTTTTAGAATTGAGCTTCTGAGTTCATCCTTTAGGAATGACTTTGTTTGTTTGTACTTCGGCCAAGAGGAAAGATGAACAGCTGCTTCTGTGATCATTAGATACATAGGTATAGCTATCACTTCTATAGCATGCTTTCAGTTAGGTGAACAATCTTATTTAAGGGACAGGTGTATATTTTCCAACATCTGCCAAAACGTCACCAAAACTCTGCTCCTTCCCTATAGTGACATCCATAAATGAATGTATGTATTCTGTATTAACAGAGCATAATAATGTATAATAATTAGTGTATTCATTATTAACAAGAATTTTATATTAGTTGACTGAAGAGTGGCATAATTAACTCCTGCATTGCTGAAGACCTATTAGTTCTGTATCTCTGTATGATCTTTAAAATTTCACTGATGCAGCTTGATGTGACCCTTTGGTTATATCTTAACACTGAACATACGCCACGTCCTTCTTTTGTATTACTTAGATAACCATGTCTGCATGGTGCACAGAATGATTGGCAGCAAAGCTGGCACCGGAGGCTCATCAGGCTACCAGTATTTGCGCTCCACAGTGAGGTAAGAATAATGTGTTTCCCCCCTTACCTGCAATAACGCAGTTTGTAGACACTGTCCTGCCAGGAGACAGATTTCAGATGGTTCATTGGAGGTCAGAAGGCTGCTGTTTCTCTTTTGGGACTCTACCATTTCCTCCTGGCTGTTGAACATTTACTTATCAGGTTGACATATATAAATTCCAAGCCTTTTGGGGCAAAAAAGAACTCCTTTTGATCATTCATGCAAAGTGCCAGTTACAATTCTCAGTCAAGGGATCTAGGTGTTACTGTAATAGCCATAATATTAATCCTGCATTGTTTAGTTTGTGTGCAAGCTAGCCCAAGTTAATGAGGTGATACAGGCTGGAAGTGAGTCCCATCTACTGTGCAACCGATGACAGTTTCTTTATTCCCTAGCATGACCTCTAATCATATAACCTAAGGTACTTCCATTTGGGACTGAATATATTCTTAAAGGTGACAGTAATTAATACTCTCAAGCTGTGCAAGCAACAACCAGAAACATGCTTCCTTCTGTTGGATGAAGCAGAAAAGGAATTTAAAAGGGATGGTTGGGGCCTCAGCACAGAACTCTCTGAACAGGTAGAACATTTTTTACACCAAATTTGAGGCTCCAGCTAGTTAGACAACTCAAGCTTTTTAGCTGCAACTATGTCCTGACAGTCCTGAACCACATTATGTCAAAAAGTACAAGGATATTTAAAATACCATCTTCTAAGAAGACCTTCCTTGAGGTTTGTTTTCAAAGAGAAACCATACGTAGCTGCCATGTATGGCTGTGGGCAACAATTCCCATCACAACAATCATAACAGAGGGTGGAACAGAAAGCAGATGGTTAGATTGAATTCAAAAATTAAAGGTTCACTGTCTTTTTCAGCAAGCCTTCTCAGTCTTCCTTAATTTCAGGTTAACATTTTTCCTAGATAAATTTTGTATCTACTACAAGAGTGCAGGTCTGGAGATTATAGCCTGCATACTCTGCACTTTCAGAAGAAAGATGTGACTATAGCAACCATATTTTCTTTTTTAAGTCTCTTCTGCTATGCCCTAGAAACAGTTGGCTTTGGATTATTACCCTGGAATATTCAGGAAGAGGGTTAGTGCAGAAACCTTGTTAAATAAATAAGAAAGATGGAATGGTTCCTGAGGATTTTGAAATTATGGCATTCTATGCCAATATAGCAGTATTAATTGTTCCCTGTCTTTTTCAGTGACAGATACAAGGTATTTGTGGATTTGTTCAATCTTTCAACGTTTCTAGTGCCAAGACACTGGATACCGAAGATGAACCCAACCATTCATAAATTCCTTTATACGGCAGAATACTGCGACAGCTCCTATTTTAGCAGTGACGACTCCGACTAGTCTGCCCTTGCTGTAAAGAACTTCAGGACTTTCACCTCGAGTGGTGCTATCCCTCAAATGTAATAGCTACTTTCACACAGTGTGGGTCTGTAGATATGTATTTATGTATGACAGTTATGTGAACAGTATGATCGGTTTATCGAAGAAACTTAATTGTTTGTAGAAAAAGTAATTTGTATCGAGTTAGCCTATATTAAGACTAAAATGATATCCCCATTCAACTCAATGACCAATTTAACTCTTAGTTGCTTCTTAAAACCTACACCTACAGAGAGGGAGCAACTTATACAGAATTATCATGATCATGTCTTATTTGTACATATTTTTGTATTTGTTTGTTTGGCTAATGGCTGTTAGTAATTTACTTTTTCTAGCTGAGGATATAATTAGTCTCATCACCTTCAGAAGAACATTAGTTCCGGAGCTCTAGTGGTATTTCAAAAGGAATTTTGGGTTAAGAGTTTCAAAAGCTAGATTTAAAATATTAAGTCCTGAATCTGTAGACACCCAAGCCTTTTGAACTGTTACATACATCAGGAATAACATTGCTATCTATGTGTTGTTGCACGTGAATTTAAATCCCTTCAGTAGAAATACTTACTGTTAAGAATAGCAGATACAAATAAATACTTACTTTGCACTTCAAATAAAGCAGTATTAAAGCTCTTCTTAAGACTTCTTCTAAAGCAAGCATAAAGTACAAACAGCATTGTGACAGGCATTTAGAGCGTTTTTTTTATTCAAAATATCAATGAAATAAGGATAAAGTTGATATATAGTAAAAGCAAGGCAAATTTGGCCATAGAATATTGGTAAAGCTGCGTTGTCTTCTCATTAGATGGACTCTCATATTTTTAAATGCTTCCCTTGGAAATACACATACGCTTTAGGCCTTAATTACTGCTGAGTTGCCCTGCCTCTTAGTGCTTTTGGTACTTATGCCTGGTAGTGCCACCTCAAAAGCACCAGTGGAACATCCGTGTTAGATACTACAACATTACTCTTATCAATGCCAATTAGGAACTTTGGCTGTTGTTTTCCAGTTATGAAAGTGTGCTATTTGTTATTTGTAAACTGCTTAGGGAAGGCCATACTACAGAAGACTATAGGACTACAGAAGACTTCCCGTTTTGTTAATCTGAAGTTTTCAGCCAGTAAATTCAGTAAGTAGCAGAACCTGAAACAGTGAAACGTAGCACTTGGTCTTCCTTTCATTTAAAATATTAACACCTAGAAGTAGAAAGACTAAAATGACAATACTTACAATAGACAATTATGATTGCATTTCTCATAAAAAGATAATAATACACTGATCTATTAACATGGTGCAGTAATTGAGTGCAAAAATTACAGAACTGCTTCAATACTTTTCATAGTAGTGCTTCATAGAAGATTACAGGTAATGCATTCCAGATGAAAGATTCAGAGCTTTTGAGAATGACATGTTTGGTTGTGAATTCTAGTTACATTTGCCTACAGGTGCAGTTTTACAGGTCAGCAAAGCTGGAACCACCTTTTGATTCCCAGGAAGTCCCACCTATGAATTCAATTAATGCAGAAAAATTTAACATCCACTCTATTTGGTGTATTTGGTAATTGCTGACTTTCTAAAGGTGGCAAATAAATATTAACAACCCCCAACCTCACAATTTTTTCTATAGTAAGTAACTTTTTAATTTCTTCTTTGCAACTGGCTTCACTGTTCATTGTGAAGTAGAGAAGAAAGAAGGCGTGGAACTGACACAGCTCTCAAAGCATGGAAAGGCTGATTGGCAAACACATACATCCTACCAGGACAGGATGTTAAACCACTAGAACTGCCTCAGCTTGTCTAAATACAGTTACTTCTTACTTTCCTATCCATCTAACAAATGAATCCAGAAGACTGATATTCCAGGCAGTTTCCGGAAGACACTTCCTGCTCTGAAAAGCTCTGAAGTTATATTTACCCAATTAAGGTCTGAAGACTGAAACTGAAGGACTGCAGCACTTCAGAGACAGCGGGTGCTCAGGAAACGACTTTGACTCTCTATTTCCCTCTTCTATTATCCTAGCTGTAGAGAAAAAGTAGGATTTCACAAAAAGGAGAAAGACAATGTGTGTGTGTCTGCCAGAGGTGCTAGACAAGCCAAGACAGGTATCAAAGCAAAACAGAGTATTTTCTTCCAATTGCCCTTCCTCCCTGCCCAATAAAAGCAGACCTAATCATGGTTCTTCTCATATTCAAAGCATTTTGATTATATTCTGTCATACTACTGATTATTTGATCCAAAATCCTTATCATTTTTCATCACTTCTTTCCTTGTAAGATTTTTTTTTTTTTTATGGAGTGGTATTCAACAGCTGGATAGAATTCACATTCACAGCTTCAGTCCATCTTTCTAACTTCTTTTTGCGTACTCTGCAATTGATTCCAAGTCTTTGTATTCCACATGAGATTTGATACACAGCACACATATCAAATAAGAACACTTTTAAAAACTCCAGCCAACCCATTCTTCTACTGCCTCAAAGCAGAAATTGCCCTTACAGTCATTTCTTGTTTTAGAAAACGTTGCTTTGAAGTAAATCTTCACATAAAGTGTGTGCCAAACTATTATCCAAATGATAATCGTGGTCTTTGGCCAGTATGTGTCAAACAAATACCGATGAAACTGTATCTGCTATACCTACAAATGAAACAAAAAAAATTTTTAATAAATACTGGAAGTGGAGACTTGCTAAAAATAAGTTCCCAGAATTCACATTCATGTAATGCCCCTCTCTCCTCCATGCCACGACAGCAGGTGAACTGCTGGGGCTGGGAATCAGCTGCAACCCTTTTATTTCTTCATCGCCTGACACTATTTATAGCTGTGCTCTACATTCCTCCCTCCTCTGTTTTCATGTTTGAAACTAGAGCCTTTTTAAGGATTCAGCATTAGTCCAATCTGGGTGCTGAAAAGCAATCTAAACTTTGATATCCTCTTCCCTTTTAATCATATTCATTAGCAATAGACAGACAATATGAAGCTATGTAGCTTTGAAAGCTCATGAAGAGACTAGAGATCATAAATTCCATTACAAGACGCATTTTTGAACACTCATACACACACAAACACAGAGCAAACCAGGCTTTTTGTTCATGCTCAGTTCTCTTTGCATTGTTGTACTCCTTCCAGCACTAGAAGCAAAGCCTGACTACAGCCTGTAAAGGTATCCAAGGGTAACGGCTTTTATACTCTCAAAAATGGTGTTAGAGCACCTCTAAATCGGAAGACAACATCTGTGGGGGAAACACAGCAACTACTGGCCTTTGCTGGATTGTTCTTGTGTGACACACTACAGAAGATGTGAAAGATCCTGCTTTTTGAGAGAATGGATTTTGAAAATAACAGCTATTTTTCCTGACCACTTCTACAATTGACTTCCTTTAATTATTACTACTTCTGAATGTCTCTTTCCAAATAGTTTGTTTATACAATAAGAACAAAAGTTTCAGCAACACGGAAAAGCTACGCTTGCATACATTCACCTGATCTTTACCAACTGCAGACAAACTGAGTATTATCTGTTCTTATTTGCAGATGATTTACAACACCTAACACCTTTTACAATGACTGTGAGAGCTACTGTGAAACATACCTGGAAGGGAAAGCCAATAGAAGACCTACAGTGTTGATCTAACAGACAAAAATTCAATGGATGCACAAGACTTACTATCTAGTAGTGCAGTCCCAGCAATTTGGCTCAGCAATCTTTGCTGGTAAACAGGAGCTTCATCTGCCTTACCTCCACATCCAGCAACTCAGAAGAAACTCGGTATTTAACGCTACAAAACCCCCTCAAACACCAAGAAAAGCCTCGTGCAAATAGTAAGAGGGCAGGAGATGGTACTAGCAATAAAAGTATATACCTCTACCCCACAAGAGAAGCCACAAGCAGGGTACACAATTCCCAAGCACAGGCAGATCTATGCTCTGTATTTGTTTGCTAAACTGAGCCCAGAGATAATTGCATCCACCACACAAGGACAGCAGCTCTTTTACCTACACTGAGTATAGTGATGGCACTAACCTAGAACCATGATACACGACTGTATACTTTACAATGTCATTAACTTTACATGGTAAGGTACAACAGCACTTTATTTGTTATGCCTTATATAGCTTTACCTTTGCATGGTGTTTTTCAATCATTCAATTCTATGGCTTCGTTAAACTAGCGATCTCTTTATTTATTTTTCCGCCTGGACTCATCTGACCTCTTTTAAAACATAGCACTGATTTTATTTCTTCTCTGAGGATCCCATTACTTACATGGAGAAACGTCTCCCAGCGTGTGGCCTTTACCACTTTAATTACTTTTTGTCAGACTTACCACAGACATTGCCTCCTATCTTAACACGAACGTAGCCATCTATTCCCCATGTAGACCCCCAAGAGTTCTGTACAATCCAGTAAGGGACACTACCTGGAAGAGATATTTTCATGAACAAGAGACAACATGAGATGTGGAAAGCATAAAAAACTTCAATCACTCTACACAGTTAATTACCATTTTAATATCTCATAGTTTATGATGGTTTGGTGATACAGCACAGTGAAACCTATTCCTGTTCACGTAGAGGACAGAGCTGATACTCCAGTGCTGAACACACTGGATGTACCCTCTGCTAGCATAAAGACAGATATAGCCGTGTTTGTGACTTTACAAGGACATGAAGTCCCACAAAACCGAAGGAGCACAGACAAGAAGAGTCTTTCTCCTGGGATCAGACTGCACTTCCAGAACTGACATGACACCAAACCAAACAGCTCTCAACAGAACACCCAGTTCTGGATTTTAATCACCTGCCCCTCAGAAGGCAAGTTTTAAGTAAGAGAAAAAACACAAAACCTACTGGGTTGAAGTTCAGTTGATGGAAACGCACCTGTTCTGTCAAAACCAGTGATTAGAACAGCATGATTTGCTCTTCCACTGGAGCAGTGATACTGTATGATCCCACCAAGATAATCCTG